TAATAAGTAAAGAACACCGAATATTTATACACTCTACGTCACTCTACAGTTATGCATATATAGAGTCTCTTCAAAACAAGACCCTATACGGGAAGTTGCCGAAGAAATAGTTCGATCCGAAACATTTTCAATAGCGTTGGTTTCCCCGCCCGAAACATGTTGGTGAACAAAATTTCATAATCAAAATGTTAAATACAAAAAACGCAAACAGACAAGCTTAAATTGATCCAGATCTCTCGAAGATGGATCTATCTCAAGTCCTTTTGGTTGAGTATAAAAACTTGAAAAAGAAAAAAATAAAAATACATTTAACACACAAATAAAAAATCACACAAGCGCACATGTACCGAGCATAGCGAAATAACGAAATACTGCAAATTCAATTATAAGCTTAAGGCATACATATGCATGTACGTATATGTGTAAGGAGAAAGGGAGTAGAAGGAATAAGAGTACGGAAGCCGAGAGGAGAAATGCATTTAGGTAAAGTTGCCAGAATAACAATAAGTGGGAATATGTAACATGTAGAAAATTAGTAAATTGTAAGTAATGGGGAATATTTAAAAAAAAAAAAAAAAAAAAAGTCTCTCATGCGAGTTGAATGACAGAGTGATCAAGTTTCTTTTCTTACGAATTGTATTTGGGTATACATAATAGTTCGAGTAACAATGAATATCTTTTATATAAAAGTTCGATTGTCCGCTTCAATTCACAGTCGGGTGATAAAATTACAAAATAAATTTATTTTGCTTTCATAAAGAGAAACCGAAATTGCGATAAGTAAATTTTATTATTCATTCACAATTCATTCTATAAAAGATGAATTTATAGAGGAACGCATTCGCGTTGAAAATTATGTCGTAATTATTTTTGAAAAATAATGCTTATAGCGATTTCGTGTGCACACCGCATGGAAATTGATAAAATTTTATACTTTTTATACTACAGCACACCGTGGTATTATTTCGCCAAGTATTGTGGAACATACAGCACACGTGCAAGTATCTCAAGACGAAGGTGCTGTGTTGTTGTGCGTAGCCCAAGGCTGCCCATCACCTGAATACAGGTAAGTTGCCCATTTTGTCTGCTTTTTTTCTTTATGCTATAGATAGTCAACCGCATCAGGTCTAAGGCCATTTTGGTACAATACTTTATTGGGTAAAATCAATCAAGCTCTCAACAAGGCTGATCAGTCTCTCTTTGATCATTCTTTCGGAAAGTTTATAGACAGAACTGGGAAAACTAATATGCCTAGGCAGGTTACTAAGCAATTTTTCCCAAGGTTTCCCAAGGAGCAAAAGATTGCTTTTACGGCAATCTTTAGGCGATTCAAATCTCTTACATGATAAAGTTCTGAAGAAATGTTCAGCTAGACCCTTCATCTTATTTATTACATAAGTTGGAACGTATTTTTTCAATCAACTAAGAGATATGCAACATTCACTTTCTTGCGGACGAATTGCGTCCAGCTGGTTTAGTTTTTGTTTTGTTACTTTTGATATCTTCCCGAATCTGTCTGTCTTGATAAACAATTTGAAAGCAAGAAAATTCATATAATTGAACGAATGACGTCTATGGAAATAACAATATTAAATAAAATATAAAGTCTGCCCATTTTATCTAAGAAGATTTTAAGTAAATATATTTGCGGCATTAAGTATCATCTTTGTATAATAGGGAAACGAGCAGATCAGCGCTTATAAGCTCCTTTATCTAGAGAGGGGTCTTAAAAAGTCCTTCATAATGAAATGAAACTCTTTCCAATCATGATATGTTCTACCAGATGTGAAGTTTAGATAAAATAATCAGATTTTAAATTTATCATTGCCTTTGGATGGTTAACAGTTAGTTTTGAAGATAAGTGACTATTGCATCTGGATGGATGGGCGAAGAATTTTGGAAATTAAAAGCATAGTTGCGCTCATTTTGTTAGCATATCATAGAAGGGAAACGCAGGGTAAGATCAATAGAGAAAATATATTTCTCTCTTAATTTGCCATCCGGCAGCCACAAGTTTTGGTGTCAGGTCGTGTATTTGGGTTAAACACAAATAATGCATTTTTTAATTGACGTTGTAAACTGCTAACCATCCTGGGATGAATTGCAGACAATTTATATGCCTACGCATTCGATTTACTTGGTTTAAATAAGGGACAATTCAGAGTTCTCCTAATTAAGATAGCTACTTCACCCCTACTTTTATCCGATCTATCCCGTCTAATATATTTGAAAAGTGAATCGTCTGATCTGATAACCAAATATCTGAAGTTGAGCAAACATTAATACCCATATATTGTCCTTTTGTTGCACTCTACATACAAAGCCAATTCTATCAGGGTACGGCAATTTTTTGTTCCGGTCTTCATTCTTCAGAAATTTTCCCTAACCGAAACCACATTCGAACCACGTCCGAACGTATTATTTGCTGCAAGGCTTTTTTCTTCGTTTCATCCACGTTCACGTGTACATAACATAAATTTTAAAGGGAGAATCCCATGAAAGGATAGCAAATTTTTAAATAATAGCTCATAAACAGTATGATGATGTCTGTCTTCAAACCACTTTTAGATAATCTCTAGAAGTCTATGATAACAATCTATATTCCAGTATAAACCTTAGTTTCCTTGTGAAGATCGGCTCAATTGTTATGATAGAAATTAGCAACAGATTTTTGATAGTTCCTCGCTCATTCTTAATATTATACTTTTGATTCGGAACGGATAAAGTTGTATCGCTCCTAAATTTCTTATATAAAAAAGTTACATATGTAACATGTATACATTTATCTCAAAATTAATGCTATAGCAAAATCGTAGTCGCAAGCCATAATCCAATGAAACTATTATTGCGTATCCGTAACGTCAATTTCTATGAACTGAAGAATTGTAGATTCCCATCTCCGTGTTATGGCTAAGTATTTCCAAAAAATTGAGCAATAGAATTTAATAATTGGAGTTTTGTTAACTAATGCCTTTTCCGCAATTTGCTTATATTGAAATATTCAAATTTATCTTTAGCATTTCTTTCCCATGGAGTATCAGCTTGAAACGGGTACTTGTAGCTACGGTGAAGCTCAAGCTACGATGTACTAGCAGTGACTTTTTCCCTTGACATAGTTTCATTTTTGTCCGTCTTTGTAATTCCGTATATTGTCTGGTTTGTATAGCACTTACCTTGTTGACTGCTGCAGCACAAAGGAAGAACGAGCATTATTTCAACGGGCTTTTCATACTTTTACACTATGCTGTTTTCATGCAATCTATGTTATAACATATACACATTACACGAGCTGTATGTGGATGTGTTAGGTGTAGAAAACGAGCGTGTTATATATAACAAGGAAAAAAGTTATATTAGGTCGGTATCAAATGTTTTAAAGCCATCACCGTTATCCTATAAAAGATTAAAAAAAGTAAACGAACTAAATTTTCATACTCTATAATATTGAGTGGATGAGATTGATTTTTTTTATTTTCAAAATAAAAACAAATCTTTGTCGCATAGCCGTGTGGGCGTTGTTGGCATTTAGGTCACTTTCAAATTCTTTTGCAAATTGGTAGGCGATATAGGGGGAATGTTTACCACAGCACAGCTGGGCAGAGGGACACAGAGATAGACGAATTTGAAACTGTCCAAGAATGTATTATCTTTATGAGCTTTTGATAGATTATAATATAATAGCTAGGCGTTGTCAATTTTTACCATTTTTGTACAGGTCCCAACATCACCCATAGAATATAAGTTCAAATATTTGCACATTCATCTGCTATTGTTTATGAGTAATCAGTTTTATCCCTTTTGAAAAACAAGGGTGTTCTATGCTTACATAAAATTGTGGGCGTATCCTTCAATCGATTTGGCCCATTTTCAATTAGCCTGCATACAATATGCAATGCTTCTGCCAAATGTAAGGTCGATAGCTTTATTTTTGTTGCGAGGAGAATATTTACAATAGACATAGCATGGACGGGCAGACGGACATACTTAAATCGATTCAGAATTTGATGCTGATCGAAATTATATAAATGTTGCGAAATGTCTAAAGCCTCCTTCTGGAAACGATTCAACGAAATGAACATACCCATGAGTAATACAGACAATACATACCATAGGGATTCTGTTACATTACACTAATTCACATGGATGCGTAAAAGGTACGAAAAGAATGTATGCAAAGAGAAGTATAGTTCCAAACAAATTTGAGTAGGCGGTTAATTTTTAGAAAAAGTATAATTTGGAATGGAACCAGAAATTGTTATATTCAACTATACAAAGGGAAAGTAAAATTTTGAAAAGAAGCATAGTAGAGAAGAATACTGATCAATATGGGTAAAAAGAGAGCAAATTCTTGTGAGCGTGTGCGTGTAATTTCCATGATTGATGATGAACGTAGCGATCGTTACAGATTGATTAATGAGTCCATTTAATCCATTATTTTTGTGTTTTATGACTTTCCACAATTGGCAAACAATGCAATTAGATCAGATTCAGATTACAATATTTGTACTCTTCTGGTTTTGGGAAAACACTTGTAAGCTTCCCTGAGTAGCGGAGTAGATAAGAACTGCGATTGCCAAGTCTGTGCTCGCGAGTCCAAGTCTCTTAAGGGCAGTATAGTGTTTTTTTGTTTGGGTGCAGCTATCGTGAGTTCTCAGTCGGGAAAGGCATAAATCTCACTAGGCTGCAGCCACCGTCTCCCTATTTCTTTCTCTTTCTTCCCTTGTTTATAATGTTCCCCGCGTTACTCGAATATAGGGCACTACCTGGGTGATCGGTCAAATAAAAAAAAAAAATATAAAAAAGATTTTTCGTAACTTGCGTCGAATATCGTACCCCCGTTGAACATGTGATATTCAGTTTATGCCGTGATGACAAGGTCCACTTAACGTGCTAAATGTTTATGACGTTTTTAAGTTTTCCAATTTTCCAGAGTTTTTTCGCCAACACCTTTTGGACTCGCCCAGCAAATTTGCGGTAAAATGATGCAAGTAGCTAGGAGCTAGTTTGATTTTTTGGTGAGAGCGTTAGCTTGATTGCGCTCAAGTATAACGAAAAAGGCGAATAGTCATTAGGCTATCAGCTTAAAGTCCTCATTAGACGGCTTTAAAATGATGTGAATTATTAAACAATTCCATAGGATACTCTTTTTGATGGCAAAGTGTATCGGACCAAAAAAAGAAAAAACAAATTCGTTCAACGGTCGTAAAATTGTTCACAACCAAGCACATGCGTTAGTTTGCCGCATTTTTACTGAAGAAAATTCTGATTACCACATACAAAACCACATATCAGCAGTTGAACAGAGCATTTCTAAAAAAAATTTTCAAAGTCATTTCTATCATTAACATGACTTAATCTGCCCCTCTTTCTCTCTCTCTCTCTCTCTGTCTATCCCTCTTTCATCTTTGAGTGCGACCCAATACTATTATGATGATGGGTGCTTTCATTTCTGCAAACTGGTTGCAACATCCAGCAGGAAGCTTCAAAGACCCAATCAGGTTATGTATTTCTGATCAGCATCAACAACTAAACTGAACTAAGCATCTCCGTTTGGCTGTCTGTATATCTATCTGCGTGACTTTATAATGGCTGTGATAAACGTTCTTGTGGTCGTAAAAGTGCAGCTATCGACTTCAAATCAAGCAAAAGAAATTGGAAGTTGTTGCAACCAGGTAGACATTGGAATTGAGCCAAAACGGCCAGAGTACAAGCTCACCTGAGACCGTTTCTCTTTTCTAAATATGAAAAAATAATTGTTTTTGTTTGTTAATTATAAACCAAAGCAGTTGCAAAAATAGAACTGGTCCTGCAGCACTTGCACAAAAATATCGAAACGTTCGCAGCACTCAGAAAAAATCTTCAAAGATCACATAAAGCCTACATATTACCGATGAAGTATCAAATTTCTTAATTAATCCGTGTGTCCATCTGTCTGTTAACTGTTCTGATATGCAAAAATGAATTTATATACTTTATATTTGGCGAAAACATTCGATGTCGTTGCATTGAAAATGGGTGAAATCGTTAAAAGGACATGTCCACAGAACAATTTAAATAGAAAACATCCCGTTTTCCTGGGGGTTTGTCCATTACGTTTGAATTACAGGCGACACACGATATAAATTTACGCGTTTATTCTACAAAAAGTAAAAAAAAAAACAGTCATGCCCACCCAATATTATAGGGTTTGCAAATTTCTTGTTTCCCTTTCTTTTCTTTTTTTTTTTTTTGAATTGACGATTCGGTCGCAGCCGAACATAATTGTCTTATTTGCTTTATTCTCAATTAAACAATTCGGCGCGCACACAGACACACAAACCACTGCCCATCTAACTACATTGCATTTTTGGTAAATGATTGCAAAGAAAAAAAAATTATACCGTATATACAAAAGTAAAAGTTAACAAGAGACGACAAGCTATGTATATTCGGCTTTGATGGAATTTTTGAGTTCGCATAATATGGATTTGAGTAAAGACAGTCACGACTTGTATTTCGTGATCCGTAAAAATAAAACGTCTCTGATTAAAAAAACATATATTTACTTATATGCTTAAGCGAAGATGCATTGATTTGCGAAACAAGCTAAACACCGTATCGTATTCTATACAAACCACAGAGCTCGATTTATGAAAAGATTTGAAATTGCGAGAAAACACGTTTCCAACTTTCGTTACCTTTGCTGATAAGAGCACAAATAACTTCGTCAACGTCTAAGAATTGGGCGTTTTCCCTGGCTATTCTAGTCTTGGCTTCCTATTACGCTCTTGTATCAACGGCTTGCGGCGGCGAGCATGGAAATGGTCATGTTATGGTTTGTAGTCGGTATTTGTGAAACATTCAAATTCTAACAAGATAACGACCTCAAGCATACGCCCTACTTAATTCGGGGATAGCTTCGGGGATATATAATTGCCCCAAAGTGCTTTACACTCCTCCCCAATCACCAGGCGCGAACGCTATCAAAAATCTGTGGTTTGAATTGGATCGCCGTCTGCGAAAACAATCAATAGAAATTCCAAGAGAGTCGAAGGACTGAATAATATACTGCAAGAAGAATGGACGAAGATCCCTGTTCTTTATGTGAAACCGTTTAAATGACGTTACTAAGGAAAAAGCATATCCCACCAAATATTAATTTTTAATACTATAATATGCGGTTTTTTTTCCGTGCGTTCGACTTTAGAAAAACATACAATACATTAAGGGAATATTGAAAACATAATGTATATATAAATATACACATATGTTATTTGGAGAACGTAAATTGATCGAATTGGGGTGTATTCGTCGAATCCTTAAGTTATCCATAAGACTACTTACGATGGCGATGAGGAGAAAATGGTGTGGCCGTGGGCTCTCTCGGTTCGTATCTCGACCAGATGGACAGAGCGCGTACATGTATTAGCAAACGTAGCTTATCTTATTCAAAAACAATCCGCTTGGTCAGTTGTCTGTGTACGTTATAAATAGGGTCACCCTCGTGCCAGACTTTAACGTCGATAACGATAGTTATCGAAGAACCGTCTTTACCTAGCCCTATGGAAGACAGTGTAAGCGGCACACTCAAGGCTGCTTTAGGAACTTACAAAAACAAAATTCGCTTATTACACTCTCGGGGATTTTCGCACGTAAATTTTATTGCTTATGACTCAGGCTGGCAAAATAGATCCATTGATTAAGTACTCCCTCGAACGAGAGACAAAAACCAGGAGGGGAATATTCGCGACTTGGCTGGAGAAGAGGAACCGCAAAATTTTATTATTTTGCCCTCACCTACCGAGAGCTTCTATGCCAAAAGCATTTTAAAAAATAATCTCTAAATGAACGGGCGTGCCGCGAAAATGGGAACTTTCATATATACATAGGTTTATATATACATATATATATTAACACAAGTATTCACAAGTTTCAAATTTATAGAAAGGTCTATCCAACGCCGTCGGATGAGAATATGGCTTACAATACGTACGATGGATGGATGTACTATATATGTAGTGAAGAGATAGATGTTCGCGTTCTTTTGCTAAATATAATTTTCTTCTTATTTAACTTAAACTAAAGATAATGAAAAGATTTTAGTTTTTTTTATGATCAAGATTGATAATCCAAAGACAATTTTGAGTTCGTTTGTTGTTTGTTTTAGCGATGTTGCTAAGCTGCTTGCTTATAAATTGAAATTATTGTTGGTGTTTTTGAACCGTAAGTGCTTTCACTTGTCGATAACAAGGCTTTGTTTGCTGTCACCTGATTAACTGCATAACTTTTCCATTATTAGTTTAATAAACTTTTTCAAGACTTGATGATCATTCTATGTATGTGCATACTGAACGGGAAGAATATGTAACATATACTCATACAGATCAAAGCCTTTTACACGTTTATACATTTATTCATATTCTTAATATCCTTTTATTACAGTTGGTATACGCACAACGGTCCAGGACCTTTGCCGGTGTTAAGCGGCCCACGCATACGCTTATTGGGACCAATTTTGGCAATAGAAGCGGTTACTGGCGAAGATTCTGGCGTTTACAAATGTACCGCTAGTAATGTAGGTGGCGAAGCAAGCGCCGAATTACGGCTATCGGTTGCCACACCCATCCAAGTAGAAATACAACCAAATGTGCTTAGTGTTCATATGGGCGGCACGGCGGAGTTTCGCTGTTTGGTGACAAGCAATGGCAGTCCAGTTGGTATGCAAAATATACTATGGTATAAAGACGGCCGCCAATTGCCGTCGTCAGGACGCATTGAAGACACTCTAATAGTTGCACGGGTTAGCCGAGAAAATCGTGGCATGTATCAATGCGTTGTCCGGCGACCTGAAGGTGATACCTTTCAAGCCACTGCCGAATTACAACTAGGAGGTAATTGCTTTTCGTTTTCTTCTTCTTAATTAGAATTGTCAATTGCTTTGTCGTGTCCCGGTTTATCCTTCCATTTCTCCCAACGAATTGAAAGTTTCAGCTCGATCAATATAAGAATCAATTAATTTTGCGATATTTTATGCACTACTTGTATAATTGCAAAAAACTATAATTAACTATAATAATCATTCTGTATATTGCGAATGATAGTTAATTACTTTCCTATTAAAAGATAATAATCGTTTTACTTTAAAATCAAATACTATCTACCCAAGCGATATGCCATTCGTCCCTAAATGAAAGAATATGTGATATAAAAAATAGTCATTATTATTATATTTATCGAAAATAAATATTTTCATATCAACGCAAGAGCATGAAAATTCTACCCAAGTCGAATATAATTTCTGGTCTTTCATTAAAATTGTTTATTATTATTATTTGTGCTTTTACTTTGGGTTATTAAAAGGTTTTTTTATTTTTTTTTTTTTTTTTAATTTTTATGGTCACACCATCAAAGTATGAAGGTATATTAGATTTGCTGTACCGTTTGTTATATTTAGAAATCACGTATCAGAACCGCTTATCATGTTTCACGAAAAAATTTAAATATAAATTTTAAACTTGCGATTAGACGGTCCTAGTTATCTGGCCGTAGTACCGTAAGCGGTAGGCAAAAAAAAAAAAACTAAAATATTTTTATGCATAGGAGTAGTTATCGGTGTCGAGAGTTACACATAAGCCCACATTTGAATTGATTGCAAGTGTGCTTTGAAATCAGCTAAAAGGATGAATTCATTTGATCAACTAACTAAGGCACGGTTTGCAGAAAATTATTTTGAAAATATATTTTATTGTGTTATGGTTGGTGGGTATCATAGATTCGCCCTAAAGCGAATGTAATTTACTTACTTGTTATATTTAAGTTAATTGAAAAATCTGTGCATTTGTTTTTTTTTCTTTTTTATTATTTTCATTACTGCAGATGCACCTCCTGTTTTACTATATAGTTTTATTGAGCAAACATTGCAGCCAGGGCCAGCAGTAAGTTTAAAATGCTCAGCAGCCGGAAATCCAACACCACAAATTTCATGGACATTGGACGGATTTCCTCTTCCATCAAACGGAAGGTAATTGAACTTTTTCTGTACGTCTGTATGCACAGACATATATATATATACATACATATATATAAATGAGAATGTACGATTGAAGTTAAAAATAAAACGAAATGAACAAAAAGTGAGCGAATAGTAAGCCTTAGAGGAGTGGGCAGATTCGTAAATTTATAAACACCCACCCACAGACACAGGCAGCATGGGTGCCATTTATATTTACATATATATGCATGTATGTATGTATGTATATATGTATGTATGTATGTATGTGTGTGTGTATGTGTGTGTGTGTGTGTGTGTGTAAATTCATCAAAAAAAAAAAAAAAAAGTAAATAAATAAAGAAAACGAATTTAATTTTTATTAAAAGCAAAAATCAGTATGTATATATATACGTGTGTGTATGTGTGTGTGGGTGTATTTACGAGATAATAACATGCTATGGCTCTTCAATCTACGCAAAAAATTCCAGAACTATATATACAGTACAAATGAGAACAGGAGGGTGGAGGAGAATGAAAAAAAAAAAAACAGAAAGTTGATCGTTGAATCCTTGTCAGAACAACGACCTTGTATTTGTTTAAGAGGCTGCGGGTTAAAAGCTAATAAACTTTAAATGAAAACTGTCTGATTGAATAAAAACGTTGGATTATCAAACTTCAATCCTTGAAATTGCAAAATTAAAAAACTGAAACTTGTTAGACGATTTGACTAATTTTTTAAGCTAACCTAACAAAACTAATAAGAAAAAATTTATCAATAAATTTTTCTTTTTAACACATATTCTGTGCGTAATGTGTATATAAAAAAAATAAAAATAAAAATTTAATAAATAAATAAATGCATGGAACAAAAGGAAGAATACGCAAACATAATCGGGCAATTGACTAACTCTCCCGAAAACGGACTACAGATTATAGATAGATAGATTTGTAAAAATTTTACAAATGTCGTTCATGCGTACGTGCTTAGGAGTTTCTCACTTTGTTTAAAACAATTATTTAAACACAACTATTTTTCATTTGTATGCGTGTACATATATATACATATATGTATATATATATATATATATATATATGTGTGTGTGTGTGTGTGAGTGTTTGCTTTAATAAACAAAAACAACAATCAGTAAAGTTTAAATAGGATTTAACTTTTGCATACTTTGGATGATCTTTATCAAAAGTAAAGGGGAGAAAATTTGCCTGCAAGTACACAGACACATACCAGTGTATACTTATAAAATTTATACAAATGAAGCCATAAGAAATATTAATTCCTCGACCCTTATGCGCACACAAATCGACCAAGAATGTCTTCTGTTCAATAGAGCTGCAACATAGTTCACTTAAAGGGTGTACAGAATGGGTTTTTTTTTCTTTTTTTTCTTTTTTAATTAATACGAACCCCTAACAGTGTGTGCATATTTACACAAACACACACACACATACACACGCGCGCACTCTGACTGAAATAAGTCACTTCAATATGAATGTTTAAATAAAAACATTAATGGTAGGTCTATATGCATAAAGTATTGCAACCAAACATCACTACATGAAACATATACGCATACATATAAACGCACTGGTGTACATGGTGTGTAACGTGCAATGTGTGTTGTATTTAATTTGTTTGAAAAAATATTGCATTGGATGTATTGTGTATAATAAATGCAAATGCATTTGTAACGTAAACTAAATTCAGATATCATCATCAATTGTAAATCAGATGCTATTACTTAAAAATTGCAAATCGTCAATTGAACATTAAATGCCTGGTCTATTGAAAATCTCAAGGACTACACTTATAATAGATTTTTTTTAATTTTCAGCTTTCAAAAGGTTTACTTAATCATGACCGATTTTCAATTGAAAATTGCTTTCAACTAACATTTCTGATTTTTCATTTTCATTTGACGATTTCTAAAGTCTCTAGAAGCGTAGAAGTTGTCATCGCAATAAATTTTGCAGTGTTAATCGTAATCGTCAGAGGTATTCTTAGCCGATATTAGCGCGCTATGGAATAAATTGCGAATTGCATGGATAGAAAAGCAACACGAAGAAAAACTAAACAAAGGCAAAAAGAATAAAAAAAACCTTAAGAGAACCGTTACGAATCTAACATACACACACACACACACACACACACACATACACACATACATAGATATACATATACATATACATATACATCACACACTCACAGAGCTAACAATACGGTATTCAAGTATAATAGAAAAAAAAAAGAAAAATAATAATAAAAAAAACTGAACATACTTACGGATTCTCAATTACCCGCTTTTTAGCTGAAGCTTGTCTTATTGTTCTTGTTGCTGCTGTTGATTTTGACGTGTCGACTTTATATCGTTGGTGGTTTAAGTTTTAATTAAAATTATTTCTCATGTTTCTTTCACTATTTTCTACAAAAGCAACAGTTTCTGATAATGCTGTTGTTCTTGTTGCTATCGTTGTTGTGGCTCTTGCCTGCGTTACTGTTATCTCTACGCGGTATATTTGCTTTCGGCTGATAAGTTTTGTGTTTCCATTTTATATCCACCAAAGCCACCAAAGCATGGAGGTATATTCATTTCGTTTAAACATTTGCCATAAAGTTTAAATATGTATATATACATATTCTTAGCGAGCATTAAATTCTGAATCGCTTTAAGCGTGTCCGTCAGTTCGCCTGTACAATGTTTGTGCGAAACTTTCTTCTAGTCGCAAGAGTGAAAGTGTCAATTTTATGTTTATCAAAAACATACGAAATTCTTGCAGGTACGTTAGCCTTTAGAATAGACCAGAACGTTTAAAACGCATCTGCACAGTACAACATAAACTAAAAACTGTTTTCAAAAACAAAGCGAAAAGAAATATGATGGGCATTTTGGTCATTCATTACAAAAGCATAGCAATAAAAAATTTCTATATTTTATTTCAAGCTAACGGCGGGCATTATAGAAAATACAGGCGAAGCCGTAAATAATATTTTTACATGTGCAATGCCCCCAAGGGGAAAAAAATGAAATAAATCACGTTTTTCCCAAATAACTTTGCTTGACTCATTTGCGTTGTTGAGCAAAAACTTGCAAATAAAACGCTTACATCAAACCTAAAAATTAGAGAAAGCGGATACCAAGAAGCGATCTAACGAACGGAAGCAGAAAAAAGTTAGCGATGCGTAATTGGCTTTGAACGACTACCGCGTTACCTGAGATGAAATATAAAGCAACTTGTTAACGGTCGGTGAGAACGAAGGAGAGAACGATTGGTCGAATTTTATTGCAAAGGTCCGCAGATCGATAATAAACTCCCCGGATGACGGATATGTGGTCGGGCCGGCACGTCGAAATTCGAGATTATTGAAAGGCATTCAAAATTTGTTGTTGTGAAACACAGATGGATCCGAACATGTTATGATTACATAATTAATATCATTTTAAACAGTTATCAATAATTTATTGCATTAAAACAAAGTAAGAGCATTAGAGCCGAGTAAGTCTAGCAAAGTTATTAACTCATTTTGGTAATGCACACCATAAACTACATATCATTTTCTTGTAAAGATATACTTTTCATGAAAGCCGTCACATTGGAGGATGCCCATCCTCACAAACTTAATTTACTTCCCAAAAGCTTTACTATTTTTCAGTTTCCGTCACAAAAATAACTCGAAATTTACTCTACTACTTTTGATGATAACCCCTAGATATGTTATGGTCGAAAAATTAGAACTATCTGTTTCAAATTCCAGGGCATTAATTTTTTTTTTGCTACCTTGCTACTATGGAGCAATTTTTGTCATGAAATACTGAAAATTAAGCCTTTTTTTTGAAAGGGCTTACTATTCATGAAAAATCTTATATGGAGCGGATTTCAAGAAACAGAGGCCATGTGGTTTAAATTTTGTCTATTTAATTTTTGTGTCAAATTACTATTACGAACAAGTTTTCATCACAAGAAATGTTAACAATTAGACTTTTTTTGGCATATAAGGGTTTACGTTGGATGAGAATCCTTATATACGGTGGTATCCAACAAATAGACTCACATGATCCGAATTCGGTAAGATAGACTTGTTTGCCAATTTACTATTACGAGCCAATTTACGCAATGATATATTGAAAAATTTTTACCATATAAAGCTTCAGTTTCCGTAGGAGCGATTATATAACAGGGGGTTCAAAAAATTGCCCCAGTTGAGCCAAGTTTTTCATATCACTTTGAAACGACGAAATACTACTGCTTAGCGAGTTGTGCGATTTTTTTCTACATAAGGACTTTTCGAATTAAGGCCTTATATGGTGAGTGGTCGAAAAAGTGGACCGATCCAAACCAAATCGAAAAAATGAGTTAAACATAAAAATACATGGACTGACTTCACTCAATTCTTCGTCTTGTTTTCTTATGTTTCACATAGAGACCACATTTTTCAAGACATTTTGATGAAATTTGATATACCGACGAACACTATTGAAAATGGTTCGTGTCGAACTACGTTTTCGATCATTTCCCCTATAACACCTCATTATACCCTACCCCCTTGTGGTACAAACTATGGAAAGCGTTTCCAAACGTATGTAACACTCACAAGGAATAAAACTATACCCATCTGATAAATGTCGATGTATCCTTATGTTCAAGCTAGAGGTCGCAATTTTCGAGATATTTTGATGAAATATGAGACGCTGGTGTGTTTTCACCCATGAACAATATTTAAAATGTTTTGGATCAGACCACTTTTTCGATCACTTCACTTATAACACCTGTGACGGCGTTTCTTTGTGCCTGGTACGGATAGTGAGGGTACGCTCGCCGGTCACCAGGGTTTACCTACAAGACCACTTATTTTTTCCGAGTCAAATATGCCAATCTTTTAGACTACTTTATTTATATCGTTACGTGCATAGAAACTCACTATTCTGACGTTCATATCCTCTTTACCCTAACGTTTATTTGACAAAGTTCAAAAACAAACCTTCTACTTTCAAGTGATACTCACACTGATGCTCACAGCC